TAAGCTTAGCAACAACAAAGTAACGTCTTCTTTTATTATTGCGAATTAAATCATGCTTAATCCATTATGCAGTTATCATTTTAAGGTATTAAATTATTCCACATATTGACTCAGCATACCTTCCACAACAAATTAAGTCAGATTCTACGCCTTCAGTGTCTTTTTTGTCGAGTGAGAGCAAAAATAAACTGTGCCCCGAAAAATCTGCCTTTCTGCCCGCTGGCCGAAATGCTTGTTTTTGCGTAGAAACGGTAATTTTAATTGTAAAAAGTTTTTTAAAATGTTTTAAATGTACTTGGTGTTTTATGTTTTTTATATCTTTCAATTTTTAATGAAAATACTTTGAATTTTTATGTATTTTTGACTTGCCGGGAAGTGAGAACTGAATTAATTTAGTAGCGCATGCGCATTAGGTAAGCGGCTCTGAATCGTCTGAGAAAAACTGTTTCTGTTTTATTTGTTTAATTTCTTTTATACATCGTTTTAGATTTATATTAGAGTATTTGAATAGAACTTGTGGTAATTCTTCAGAATGATACAATTTTTATGCACTCTGAGTTATAAAATGAATGAGATGTAACGCTGTTAAATGAACCTAGCGGCGAAGATTCGCTATGGTAAATAAATACAGCGAACTTCAAAGAGTGCATTTATTTTGTTGAGGTTTACGCGCTATCGACGAAGTAGATTTAATTCAAAATTCGTTAACTGTTAATTCAATATGTTTAAATGAAATGCAGGAAAATTGAGTATAATTTAATATTCCGTATAAGGAAGTCATATGGTGTAAACAACTGTAAACATACATCAGATTTTTATACTTTAATCTACTGACCATTTTCATATTTGGAGTCGCAGTTCTGGTATAAGATTTTAAATGGAGACCGTTCTTCATTCGATGAAAAGTTTATTTTGGTAGCATCAGTTTTGGAGCAACTTGCCAAATAGATATATGATCTAGTTTCTCAACAAATTTCCCAGTTAAACATTTTTCATGACCTTTTCTTTTCCGAAACCCTTATCCAAAATTTTGATTGATATCAAGATACCCACGCTCGTCATATAGTTTTAAAACACAGTGAATCGTTGCTTTTGATTTTTGATATTTTGTAACGTTTAAGGACGAAAATTTTGTTTCCTTTTTGCACTAGGATTATAAAAAACCTATCGTTTCCTTCTTAATATAGCTCACGTTAATTGAAGTTCTATTTTTATAAATGGTTGTTCTGAAGTGTTCGATATAAACCTTAGGGGTGAAGAGGACATTGAGGGGAAGGGGGGTTGATGAAAAAATGAATTAAAAATCACTAATATAATAACAAAATTTTCATGATTTAATTTTATAATTAATATGATGGCAATTGATTTTGTAGAATAAATTGCCATCATTTTTTTTTCAGGGTTTGGTCAGGGTTTGAGCCCCGGATAGGGATCCGGGGCTCAAACCCTGACCTCTCGAATACGCGTCGAGTATGCTACCAAGTACTCCATGATGGCACCCCCCTTTAAAGGGCAGCTGGGGATGAGGGGACACAATCGCCAAATCCTAACGAATTATTTGTCCACCACAATTTTAGTTCGGGCGCCACTTGCAGAATCAGTAGTTTTTTATTTATTTATTTATTTTTAAAGCAGGAGACGTGAAAAATATGCGGTGCCCTCGCTGGGGCTCGAAGCCCGGACACTCGAATACGCGTCGAGTATGCTTCCAATTATGCCAAGAAGGCATGGGGAAAAGGGGGAGAAAATGCCTTATAATTTAACAGTATTTTACGTAATGAAGCTTAAGTAAACAGTGATGTTATCAAATTGAGGAAAAAAACCTCTCACTTTGAAATTCTTAATTCAAAGCATAATTTATTATAATGGTATTTTCACATTTGAGCGTTTTTTCATTGTTCTTATTATTTCACATTCGAGTGAAAAAAAAATAGTTTGAAATAGAATTAGGGATTTCTTTGTGAAGAGATACATAGTTTATTAACTCAACAAATTTGTGGCCAAATTTATTAATGGAGTTTGAATGTTTCTGATTGATTTTAATAGAATTCCTAGCAGTAGTATACCCGTATCCACGGGTAATTCGTTCCAGGCTATACGGCGGATTCGCGAAACCGCGGGTACAAGTAATAAGTAGAAGTAAGTTTTAGTAGTAACGGCCGCCATTTAAAACAGATAACCGTTGTTGCTAACAGATCACTTGTCTGACCTATAGCAACACCCCCTAGACTTAACTATATATCTAAGGAATGATGCTTACTGTCAACCCAAGCGTACAAAATTCCACGTGGCAAGGAGCACAAATTTATGCTTGTCGTTGGCAACAGCGTTCAGCACTATACAGGTGACAGCTCAGTTCCGCCCCCAATTTAGATGGAGAGCACTCCCCGGGGGACGGGTCCAAGGGTCTCCCACTCCTCTTCCTCTACCACCAACCTCTCGAGAGGACTTTCGAGTCGCCACATATTTAATGTACCCTCATGCTGCATGGACACTATACATTTACAAACATCCATCCGGTATAGTAGTATCCAATACGCCCAACCGGTATAGCAGTTAACGTTGCTGACTGCAGTGTTGAAGGGTTCGAACCTGGCCCTTCTGCAGTCACGCACGACTGACTTCAGCGACGATAAACACTATACCGGTTGGGCAGAGCCTTAGCTTGTAACATTGAGCAAGACAGTAGACTTCCCTTCTCTCTCCTCTGCTGAAACCATAAAAACAAAAGAGTCTCTCTCCCTACTTCCCCTACCACCAACCTCTCCAGAGAACTTTCGGCTCGCCACATATTTAGAGTGCCCCCATACCGCACGGATACTATACATTTTTAAACCTCCGGGATTCGAACCCCGGCCCTTCGGCACGGCAGTCTGCGACGCTAACCATTATACCGATTAGGCGGCACAGATAATCATACAGCATACTAATATAATTAATGAATTGTTCTTTAAAAGACATTAACAATATTTAATTAAGTGTACTGTATGTACACGACGCTGAATTGCATACTATATTAAAAAATAAAATAATATAAAGTATACTGCAAACCATTCTGTCTCATCATGTACAGGCATTAGGTTATTTCGAAGCAGGAGATGTGAAAAATGAGTTATGCCCTCTCCGGGACTCGAACCTCGGACCTCTCGAATACGCGCCAGCGTGCAAACCACTACACCACGAAGGCATGTCAAGTAGGCGGGAGAAATACCTTATAAGACTAATAAATACAAAAGAAGATAATAAGTTTTACTGACCACTACACCGCGAAGGCATGCTAAGAAGACGGAAGAAATAAGTAAAATAAAAGATTTGGACATTTTTAAGCTAAAGCACATTTAAATTTTTCTAGCACTAATACATACATTACTACTCGTATTCGCGACCAATTCATTCCAGACTACACGGCTCGTACAGCTTCCCCCCCCCCTGAAACAGGAATTGAGAAGTGATGACGTAGTCATGATGACCTTAACCAGTGTTTCAAATTAACTCTGTGAAAGACAGCTATAATTTGGAAGAGACGATAGACATTTATAATTTGGAGGTATACATTTTACATTGAACGTTTAAAAAGTTAATAATACTTACTCATAATTTTAAATAATAGATAAAAAATGCGTTTTTTTAAACGTTAAAATTTTAACATAGAGTTTTTTTTTTTTTTTTAAACTTGCAGGATTATTTTTAAAGCACATTTATTAATAATCATTTCTTAATCTGCGTGCTAACTGGGAGAATTCTATGACTGCTTCGAAGATAACTATAACAGTTTTTTAAAGTTCAGTAAAAAGCAAACATAGATTGGCGTAGTTTTATGCATATATGACATTTCCCCCCCCCCTTCTGCTAAACAACTTACGTTTGATTTCCTCTGAAATACAGTTTGATTAGCCACCAAAAATTATCGGCCTGTTTTTTATTTAAAGAGTGTGTATTTAATTATTGCAAAGTACACTAGGGCTATCTGCCTAAAGGGAGGGATGCCTTCGTGGAGGACTTTCGAAGGGAAACTGGCTCGTATACACGTTACACATGGGGAAAACCACGAAAACGCCCATGCAGCCAGCCCGTTCGCGGTATTCGAACCTCGGACCGAACTACCAGTGTTCAGCGACTTTACCGCTCGGCCGCTGGTGGGCTCTTTATATTTAAAGAAACTAAACAATGAAGAATCTACATGAATGTATGAATGTTTCTAGCATTCTGAAAAAAAAACAGTTTTGAATTTCGAATTTGTTTTATTATCTATTTCAAAGTTTTTGTAAAACGAATTTTTTATTAACAGACTCAAGGAAATGAAATGACTGAAAAATCGGAAATTCTAAAGATATGCTGTTTTTAAATATTTTGTGATATTGCTGCTGAACTGAATCTTATGGTTTTAAGTGCGAAGAACATGATATCTAATAAATAAAAGTAACTCACAAAACGGTAAAAAAAACGCCCTTTTGGGCGTAATATAAAATTTGAAAGCTTTGAAATTTTTTTTTTTTTTTTTTTCAAAATTTCTGCTAATTTAAGGTTGATTTTTTGCCTAATTATACATTTTACACTGGAATGTATCTCTTCCGATTCAATGTAACAGCAGATACTTTTAAAATAATTTTCTAACCTATACCTATATTACATACATTGCATTTAAATACATACAATATGCAAGATTGTTGTCTTAATTTTCATAAAACAATATTCTTCACAATATCTAAACAAAATTATTTAATTTTTCAAAAGTGGGGGCTAAGGATGAATGTCCTTTTTTATGCCAATTACTTTGATGTTTTATTCTATTATAATTTATCTAAAATGCTCAGCTAGTACAAAACTGAATAGTAAATTAGTTACAAAGAATACAATTAGAATAACTTTAACAAGTAAGTGCTTCACAAAATTAATTCTTATCTGAAATATGCTTTAAACTATTAACTTCTAAAATGTCATGCAAAAATATTTCAAACTAAAACGTATTATATTTAAATGCAAATGATATAAATACTTACTTACACAGTCGCACTGCAGCTACAAACTGTGTAAAATTCATTCATTGGCCGCTAAATTCGAAGGAGTCCACATTTTTGCCTTTTGAGTTGCTTTCCTTTGGGAAAAAAGATGTGCATTTCTTTTTAAGATACGTATCCCAATAAAAGTTCCATAAAGAACTGCACAAAATATTTTTTCAAACTTGTAAACTATGTATATCTGTGAATGGAAAGGTGCGGGCAAGCCTTTTAAAGACAATACTTTAATCCATTCTGAAATGAAATATTGTTCCATCAGCTCTATTTTTAGATATTGTTCCTAATGATGGCTGTTTTATGAACTCCATATCAAATCATCAACAATATTTAATGGAAAAAGCAAATATTCTTCGTCAATCTTCAAAGCCATTTCAGGTAATTATGATGCTAAATTCGAATCGATATTTTTGCTTTCTTTAAATGCCCATTTTTGAAGATAATTTTGGTGGCTTATTATTAGCGAATAATAATTGTTGTAAGTGGTGTATAACTTCAGTAAGTGATGCATGGTCATTAGACCTACCAAGATCTCGAAGCTGATTAAAAAGACGTTCAAGTGTATCCTGTATTAATGTAGAGGGTGAAATATATTTAAACATCACATGATGATTCAAAATCCTGGTATAAGCCAAAATGAGAATTTATTGAAAACAATTATGTCTTCTAGAACAAATCATTTATCTAAAAAGTGATTTATCGGTAATTTGAGATATCGCGCTAAATCTTCAAAAATCCATATTTTTTGCGTTCTCAGAACAGGATTAGGAAATCAAAAACTATTAATCGATATCTGTAGTTCTTTCCACAAAGTACTAGATCCTTTGGAAGTCAGATACTATGACTTTCACTTCTACTCCAGATGACTGAATGTTTTATGAGAGGAAAAAAAGAGGTTATTTCTTCATAAGAGCGTTAAAATTTAAAAGATTTAAAAAAAAAAAAAAAAAAAAAAAGAAAGAAAGAAAGAAAAAGGTTCCTTCCACTGTAGAATAATGCCTCTGACTGAGACAAACTGCACTTTTTGAAAAAGGATCGAGAATTTGGCCCAGTTTTGAATCATAACGGAGCTTTGAATACATTTCGTCAAAACTGAGAACACATTTTCTTCCGCATTCAAATGTTGGCAACTTTCCTTCATCACTGCAAGAACATTACTCTGAATTCCTGGGTTGCACAAAAATTTAGCGCATCTTCTCTTTAATATGCAAGCACTAGGTAATAGAATTCCCATTTTTTTCTTTCCAACAATCGCAGTTTTTAAATGCCAGAGCTCTTATGGCAATGCAACGTGAAATATCTTCACTAGTAGTTCATGTGTTTTTTTCTTCTCTTTTCTAGTAATAATACTTTAATCTGTGTCTTTGTAAAAATATGCTTTAGACATTTTTCAAAATTCTCTAGTCTGTGCTTTTTTTTCCCGTTAATTTCGCTATCTGAGATTTTAATTCCCGAATTTCTGCTAGAAATTTTTTTCTAGATGTTGTCCACTCTTTTTGTCGTTGAACAAACATTACAAAATGTTTCTTTTTTTCATTTTTCAGTACTTCAATATGATTTTCTAGGGATATTATTTTGTCCTTCATATTATCAATGCATTCTTGTTTATCTTTACACGTAGGGCATTCAGAGATATTTCTATCGTCATTCGTGAGTTTTATTTCAGAGTCATTCACACTTGATTTATTAGTGTCATCATCAGCTTCATATTCAGCTTCAAAATGAATTTTCCTTGGACGCTTTGGACTTTGGTGGAGTCTTTCAGAAGTCCCATTTGGTTTGTTATTGTTAGCATTAGTTTCGTATTCAGCCTCAGAATAAATTTTCTTTGGACGCTTTGGATTTTGGTGGAGTCTTTCAGAAGTCACATTTGGTTTGTTATTGTCAGCATTAGTTTCGTATTCAGCCTCAGAATGAATTTTCTTTGGACGCTTTGGAATTTGGTGGAGTCTTTCAGAAGTCACATTTGTTTTATTATTCGGTTCGTATTCAGCCTTAGAATGAATTTTCTTTGGACATTGGTGGAATCTTTCAGAAACACTTGATTTATTATTGTCTGCATCAGTTTCGTATTCAGCCTCAGAATGAATTTTCTTTGGACGCTTTGGACTTTGGTGGAGTTTTTCAGAAGTCACATTTGATTTATCATTGTCTGCATCAGTTTCGTATTCAGCCTCAGAATAAATTTTCTTTGGACGCTTTGGACTTTGGTGGAGTCTTTCAGATGTCACATTTGATTTATTATTGTCAGCTTCAGTTTCATAATCAGCCTCAGAAAGAATTTTGTTTGGACTTTGGTGTAGTCTTTCAGAAGTCACATTTGATTTGTTATTGTCAGCATCAGTTTCGTATTCAGCCTCAGAATGAATTTTCTTTGGACGCTTTAAACTTCGGTGTTGTGTTTTAGAAGCAATCTGCTTTAGCTTTGATTTCTTTTCCCTGATATTCTCTGTTTTCTTCCCTTTCCTTTCCTGTATTATTTCTTTTACTGTACACGGTAAATTTACTGTCGGCACAGCATCGGATTTTAACAACTTCTTTTGCGGTAACCCAAGCAAACGGTTTCTCATGTCATCTTCATAATCACTGGCTAGAAAATGTTCGCTGCAAACTCTTGCGTGATTCTCATTAACATAATCCTGCCTTCGACACTGAAGTAGCCATTTTTTCGTCAAAAGTAAGTTTTTCTTTGGGAAAGCATGAAATATGATACCTCGTCCTTTCGTATTTCTGTAAGTGTTGCGGCACGTTGCTACAGCGCAAGAAGCCATATTGCACAAACGATACTTTACAATATAGAATTTAAAACGTAAACTGACTAACTCTCTCTCTATATATATACAAATGTTTTTAAATATTTACATTACTAAGAAACAAACGTATAAAATTAATTTGGGATATCCACGCAGCTAGCGCCTGGTACCAGAGAATGAAACTCCTGTTTTAAAGGCGGGAAATCAGAGCTGATGCAACGCAGTGACGTCAGAGTACTTCCTGTTAGCTCCGCCTATGCGGATCGCGTCGCCGGGGGGTTAAACAAAAGAATGAACTGGCACTTCGGCCAGCTGCAGAATCTATATTCCTCAAGGTCACAGTTTACCGCTGATAAGCGAAACTGAGGGGAGTAAGGAATGCTTTGCATAGAACAGATAGTCCAGCTCTTTTCCCTGTATTCATTATATCGGAATTTTTAGAAGATTTTCTACATTTTCATGTACTAGTTTTCTACTTTAATGCACCTGCGTATTCAAGAGCTCATGCCCTACGGCGAAATTCAAGATATAGGATTAGTACATATTTTCACGTTTACGTTTACTTATTTTACTCTTTTATTTACTGCATTTTACAAGAATTATATGTGAATGTTTTTCACTGCCAGTACGAGTTGCTTATCCGAATAAGAAATTCTCTAGCAACGAGATGACGCCACTTGCAACGCTTCATCTATTTCTCTTACTGAAACTGCTTTTTAATAAATATAAATCTTTCCGTTTTGTTATGGATTTTCAGGAACCTACCAACGAAAGTCCAAGGGAGAAAGAGATTTATAGTAGTAAAGGTCATAGACTTCTGGAAAAAAGAGCCGATCTCCGATTTCCGGTTTTCAGCCTTCCCCCCCCCCATGCAGCCACCCCTCCTCTCCTTTCCAGTGAAAAATACATGTACACATTTATTTGGATTTAGATTACAGATTGTGCTGTTCGCATATTTTACACGATTTTCATTGTAATTACAGAAATGTGTTACCGGAATTTTGTTTAATAAGAATAAATTGAATTTAATTAAATTTAATTTAAATACAAATTCAATTAAATAAATTTAAACAAATTTAAATTTTAATTTTAACAAACACGTATAAAAGTAAAAAAAGCAAATAACAAACACGTATAAAAGTAAAAAAGCAAATTTAAAGCCAAATTTTTTTTTTTTAAATATATAAAAAAAATGTATAAACATATAAAAGATTTAATTCTCGAACTAATCTACAATATCATTTAAATTCAGAAGCATAAGCAAATCAAGTGCAAAACCAATCCATGAAAAATAATTCACTAACTTATTAGTGTGGGTAAAAAAAGTATTTGCATACCTACATTTTTGTTTGCAATTCATAAAAAGAAGCATTGAGAAACAAAAACAAAAAAAAAAAAAAAAAAAAAAAAAATTGTATTGCCAAATCAGAATAAGTTTAATCATCCAAAACAAACAGAAAAATTACAGTAATATAAATAACAATGCTTTTTTGTAACAAAATTAAAATATCTCGTATCAAAAAAGTATTTGCACACCTGCATGAATACAAAAGAAATAAAATATATAAGCAAATTTCAAATAACTAATATTTAGTATGCATTCCTTTAGCGTCTATTACTGCTTGTAATCTTGCTGGCATTGATTTAATTAAATTTTCTGTAACAGTAGGGTCAGTATTCGACCATTCTTCAATAAGGGCTTGTTTAAGGACAGATTTGCTTGAAATCTTCATTTTTCTTATTTTTAAATCCAAAGAATTCCACAAATTTTCCAAAGGATTTAAGTCTGGTGATTGTGGTGGAGTGGCAAGTTTTCTGGGTACATTATAAAGCAACCACATACGTGTTATACCGGCAGTGTGCTTGGGATCCTTGTCTTGCTGAAAATAGTTCGAATTACTGATACCTAATTTTATTGCACTTTGTGGCAAGTTATCTCGCAACTCATCAATATAAGTTCGAGCTGTCATATTCCCATTAATGAAACACAAATTACCAACTCCTTTGCTAGCCATGCACCCCCAAATCATAACAGAACCTCCTCCATGTTTAACTGTTGTAGGTAACACATTTCTGGTATGAAAAGCAGTACAAGGTTTTCTCCAAACTAATTTCCTGCCATCCTATTTAAAGATATTGAACTTACTCTCGTCGGAGAATATGCCATTTTTCCAGAAATCAATTGGCATATTGATATATTCCTTAGCGAATTCAAGTCTCTTCAGTCTATTTCGTTCAGTTATGAGAGGTTTTTTCCTTGGAGATCTCCCATAAATGTGTGCATCGTGCAGGACATTTCGAACACTTTGGGCACAGATTTTAACTCCAGATGTTGAAGCGACATCATTGGCTAAAGTAATTGCACTAACAAATGGATTTTTCGATGCTTCTCTTATGATTTTTCGCTTTATTCGCAGTGAAAGTTTCCTTGGGCGTCCAGAGCGCAAGTTATTTGATGTAGATCCTCTTTCTTTATGACGTTTTATAATATACCGAACAGTAGAGAAGCAAACATTTACTTTTTTACCTATTTCTCGATAACTTAGGCCATTTTCACGTAGAGAAACAATTTTTTCTGGCAACGAAATCGGCAATTCAGATTTCTTAGGTGCCATTACAATTTGAAATCGACAATCAACTGCCAACGTTTCGACAACACCTCCTTTTATAGTCGTCTTACGTATGTTATTTACTGCGGGATGACTGTCAAATAATAGCATAAAAATGCAAATTTGCTATAGTTGAGTTGAGTGTGCAAATACTTTTTTGACATATCTTAATATGGTTGCAAAAAAAGTTTTTTATTAATATTATTGTATTTTTTGTAATTAATTTAAACGAATAAGCTTATTCTATTTTTTAAATGCCAATTTTTGTATTTCTTAATGCATTTTCGTATAAATTGTGAACAAAAATGTATGTGTGCAAATACTTTTTGTACCCACTGTATGTTTTTAAATGTTCTGTTTGATAATCTTTATTCTTCACTATCCTTGTACACCGTAATTTCCAAGCCTTTTGTTGTATCGGAAGAGGTATTTTATTCCATTGTTCTCGTACCGCTTTCCAAAGTTTAAGGAGGTTGTGGTAAACGTTAACCCGCATTTTAACACTACAAAGACTGAAACTTAGTATTTACCTATATTTCTCAAAGCAGTCAAAATGACTGCATTGTGAAAGAATAATTAATGAGTAAAGAAATTTGTTTAAAATGGAATTTTTAATATTTTTATATTATTTACAGTTATATAACAAGTTATTAGTAAATATTAACAATAAAAATATTACTTCACTTGGAAAAAATTATTTATGCATTATTTGTATATTTTTTGCAAATGAAACTGGAAATCTTTTTATGTGTACATCTTCCACAAACATACTTTTGACATTTTTCACATTTATTATTTATTTTTTATTTATTTATTTATTTATTTATTTTTATTTATTTTTTTATTTTTTATTTTATTTATTTTTTATTTATTTTATTTATTTATTTATTTATTTATTTATTTTATTTATTTATTTATTTATTTATTTATTTATTTTTTGTTGTTGTTGTTGTTGTTGTTGTTGTGGCAAAGTCGTACTTGACAAATTTTGCGTTTGTTAGAATGGGTCGCATTTGATGATGTTGCAGTTGATCTTTGTGAGTCTTCATGTTCTGATGACTTTTTCTTGTCTTGCAGCTCTGTATTCGGTGGAAAGCTGTTCTGCTTATTGAAAGAAGAACTCTTTCCGTTATATTTGTATTCCTGTCGTTTCTTTGTAAAGGATTTAAGCATTTATAGCAACCAAATCTAAAATATTGAAAAATATTTGGAGGGGCCATCTACGAGAACTAGCTTTTACTGCATTTTTTTCTGGACATTTGATCCGTCGTATCAACTCCAAATTATGTGCTGTTATAAAATTGAATAGATTCCGGTAACATTTTTTATTACTTTATCATTTTCACAAATTTATGCTTAGAACTTAGAACAGATACTCTTTTATTTGGGTTGCTTTTATATATCGTAAGAACACAATTCTCTGATTTATATAGCAGAGTGGAAAAACGAGGCATGTTATCCTTCTTTTGTTTGGCTGATTTGGGTAGTTCTGTTTTGTTTCCTGTAATAATACCAACTAGAGTTGTTTTTTTTTTTACCAATAATTTTTTCGCGAGTGACATGCTAGTGGAAAAGTTATCGGTCGTGATATTTCTTCCACAGCTTGTATATGGCTCGACAAGTTTCAGAATAACTTGCTCACTGAGATTCGAATAACAAGTACTAATTTAGCTTATTGAGAAACTGCAATTTATCAAGTATACGCCCAAATCGACAATTTATCACGTACTTGTGTATGTTATCATGTGACGGTAATAAAAAAAAATGAAAACAGTTATTTCAATACAGAGCCGAACTGGTCATACAAGAAACTCAATTCAATAATAAGAGTCATTTGATAATTTAAAATTTCCCAAGCAGTCAAAAGCAATATAGGTATAATACACACACACACATATATATATACCGGAAATGAAAGAACGGGATAACTTCAATTATTAATAAATGCATTTATATGTTGTACAAAAATTCACAAAATTCTAAGAAATTGTGTTATTATATATGTTTTTAAAAAGCAGTCAAAATTACTTCCTTGGGCAATCTAGTGTTAAAAGTCCAAAACCGCAAAAATACATTGAAGATATTTAGTAGAGATATGAGTGAAGGGTATGGCCTTGATACCCGGTTTCTTGCTCTTTTTTACTTCCTTGTACGAAGTAAAAAGGAAGTATTGTAATCGCGAAAAGTTTCAGGCAGCATATTTCAACGAAAATATCCATTTTCACCGTTATCGAATACAATTTAACGATGTTTTTGCGTGATATCTGTACGTAAGGACAGAATAAAAGACTCGTTTCCTCCAAAAAAAATTATAAAACTGCTTTAAAATGAATTCTCAAGAGAATTTTTCGTGGCGTCTTTGTAACGTATGTACGTAAGTACATACTTACGTAAGTGCGTACTTACGTATCTCGCATAACTCAAAAACGAGTAGTCTCAGAACGTTGAAATTTTGTATATATGACTGCTATAACATGTAGATGTGCACCTCGTATTTTGGTTGCAATCGGCCGCACCAAACGTAA